AATGAATATAAAAATAAAAAGAACCCAAAGTAAAACAATAAATCATGGAAATGAAATTATTTTAATATAAAGCTAGAAAACAGACAGTATGATGTCACACACGGTCAGTTTCCCCTACCAGAAATGGTAAGGGGGTAGGGAGATAGACAAGACATGACAAGTCTGTACATAAGGCCAGAAGAAAGAACAACACTAAAGGAGTATCTTCAATTTATTAGTGCTTATTCTTCTTCTAGGTAGGAAACCAAGCAGCAGTACTCTACACCTAATGATGTATAGCTTGGCTAGAACACATGGCAAGTAGCTGGCACAACTGAGTTAAAGGAAATGATGCAAAGTCATGGATGGGAGCTGCAGAGTTAACAAGGAGATGGAAGAAAGATGTGAAGATCTGCATGAGAAATGAAAAGGCTCAGAGTTCAAGAACCCTGTATAGCTGTAAGGACTGCAAGGAAACATGACATGCCACACAAGGAAGCAGTCTTGCAGTGGTGATGAAAGCAGCTTTTCTTACCCACAGAAATTCTTTTTTTGTTAGTGTTTCCAATATGGTTCACCCATATGCATGCCACTACGATGTGAATTATCGAGTGGTTGTCAGTAATCCAGGTACTTTTTTAATTGGAAAGCACTTCCAACTTTCCTCAACGAGTGCCTTCATTTTTCCACACCAAAGCTGTTCCAAAGCACATCCTACGGTTGGGTAATGGTGCCGTACCTGCGTGTTACAGCTCACTCCTACCAACTCCCATGAAGTAATCCAGAAGGCATTCAAACATCACTGTTAAAATAGGCAAAGATATTTAGTAGGTGAGGAGGATTAATGATCTTCTCTCCAAGATGAAAAAGTATGCAGTGTGAATGCATATATGTAAGTAATCTGGTTCTACGTGTGCTAAATTCACTCTCGCCTCATTCAGCACAACAAAGACTGGCACTTTGACTTTAAATTCACTTGAGAAGACATTGATCTCTTGCCCTGTTTTCTACCTTTTTACTACGCAGCTTGACAATCAGTCCTTTTATTTCTTCCAATGGAAAACAGAACTCTAATATATTGGGTTAGGTTCACCAGAGGACACAGAATGACTCCATAATCTAGAATGATTACACTGCTTTCATGAATATAATCTAATTATAGCATAAGAGTATTTGCCATTTTGGTTCATCAGTAAAAATTATTACAATTCTGTATATATAAGACACTTGAGGTTGTACAGTAATTTTTTAAACTGCAGTTTATTCCTTTATTCTTTGTCTATTTTATTGGTATATATTTCATAGGACCCTTAGTTTCTCATAAGCTACAACAGATCAGAAGAAAATGAGACTTTAATGATTAAAAGCATTCAGAATTGGATAGAAAATTTAATACTTAAGTTTAAAAAAAGCATTTCATATGCCCACAATTTCATCCTGCCTAGTTGTGTGCTATTATTACATGCATCTCGGTGATGTGACCATAAACTGAAAAGGTTAACAGCAGCACCACAGAGCTTTTTCAATCAATCCTTTTACTTGCACTGTATCCCTACCACAAAAATGATTAAAGCGAAGTAGTTGTGATGCGTAATGGAAACGATGTTGTTCACATGTTGTGAATTACATGAGAGAAACAACTTATGCAAGATTCATTTACTTCATTCAAAATGTCCTCTCAGACCACAAACAGCTGATGAAATAACAGAGAAAAAATACTATTCTTTAATCTTTGCACAGAAAGTAAGCTTATTTACAGCCTGCATTTCATTTTCATAACAAAGCTTCTTGTAATACATGTGTTACTTGTTTAGTTGTCCTTGTAAAATATGTAAAATCCCAACTCATCCCAGAAAAGACAGAGTACTTCTACTCAACACAGTGACAGGTTCAAAAAGCATCAAAAGCAGTACTACCACACTAATGGCCACGTTGATTACACTGCTCAGCTCTTTGATAGGTTAAATTAACCCAGGCAAACCGCCAAACTCACATACCTAAACTGCATTTCCTACTGAAGATTACCTCAAAGTCTCACAGGCCTCTCTTCAGGTAAGCAGATATAAGAAGGAATATTTATGTATCTGAATGGGGCCACATAGGAGAGAATCTAGGAGTGCGTACGCAACTCCTTCTAAAATCTGTAAAGGAGGGAATAAAGAAGAACAGCGTAAATAATAGGCAAATTTTTCCTGACTGATCCTATCTATAGAATTAGATGCTGATCGTACCCTCCAGAAGCCAGCACACGTGTGGCCAACACATGTGTGTTCCACCTCGCCTCACAAGGGCAGAAGGGCAGACAGCCCTCAGCAGTACCTCCTCCCTTCCTCCACCTGCCAGACCCTCACTCATTTTGGAAATCCAGCACACTAAAGGACAAGACAGAAGAAATCAGGTTGGATATTAGGAAAAAATTTATTCTCAGAAAGACAGGTGAGGCAGTGAAGTCACTGCCCTGAAGGTGTTCAAGAATGTAGATTCTTGATCACGTGTAGATGTGGCACTGAGGGACACGGTTCAGTGGGCATGCTGCAGTTAGGCCAATGGCTGCACTTGGTCATCTTAACTGTTTTTCCAACCTTAATGATTCTGTGATTCCAGGAAATGTAGCAATCTCTGCATTGCTACCCTGTGCCCTGCTGTACAGCTCTGCCCTATGCTGTGACAGAGATCTCCCATTAAATAGCAGCTTTGTTTCACTGAAAGAATTAGTGCTTCCCGAGTCCAACAAGGAAATGCAAGACAGAGGCATGCATAAAAATTGTGCTACCTTCCTTCTAATACTTCCCCTCATCCCACACTGTTTATCCGAGTTTCTTTCATATTCATGCCTCTTTTGCCTTCCTCCACTTTTAGTAATAAGCAAACCTCAGATCAGTAAACCAAAATATCATGGAGAAGAGATAACGAGCTCCAGAATTTCCATTCCCAGCAAGCCAAAATTCCTGGTCTCGCCCTTCCTGTAGCAAATGAGATTCTTGCTGGAGGATGTCCTGCTTCAAAATCAGGTGGCTTTGTTGAGGTTTCATCTCAACTCTCTTCCAAATAGAATCAAATTTCAAGACAGGCTACACTAAACAACAAACTGCCAACTTCCCTGATTTATGTTCAGTAATCCTCCTCCCTGCTTTTCTCGTGGCTTGGTTTTTACATATAGCCAAGAGGAAAAATCCTGCTCATCATCAACAACAGGGAAGCAAGAAGGATGTATGCCTACCACAGGTATGTGTTATTTTGCAAGCTTCTGTAAAGAGCACCCTATCTATTACTACCAACAACACTCTCCCTTTCACCTTAAAGAAATAAAAGAAAGAAAACAGCAAACAACAACATACTGAACAGGGGCAGTACAGCATGCACATCAGAGAAAGGACATCTCAGGTCTTCAGGTGCCTTATCGCCACAAACTCTTTGAAACATCCCTGAAAAAACTGTCCTCAGGGCAGGCAGCCATCAGTGCAAACAGATCTGCTTAGAAGTTCCCTGTTTGGGGGAGAATTTAGAAAAGGGATGCACTGTCCTCATGTGCATAGAGATGATCATATAATAAAACGATATTGTATCATTTGAAAAAGTGAAACAAATCACCAGCAAGAGCGCTATATAACAAATAAAACAGAGAGACCATTCCCACACAGGAAAAGGGAAAAGCACGGTAATTTTCTCATTACATAATGACTTTGATAAGCAAAGAATTCCAAAAGCACGGAAAGTTGAGAGTAGCCATGCTGTGCCTGTTCATACCGGCCGGATCCAAACCCACTGAAGTCTCCAGGGGTTTTCCATCGGCTCTAGCAGATGTTGGATCGAGCTGTCTCAGCTCCCCATTAGAAGCTGATGTGGACACAGTTAAATCCTCTCTCTTCTAGCAGAGTCGTCAAACACTTAAATTCCGCTGGGACCACTGTGTGGTGGAGACTTCAGTTTCACAATGGGTCTGTCAGGACCAGGTTGTTCCATCACTAATAGCACATAACAACCGAGAGCACAACCTCACCCAAAGGTCATCGACCGACAGAAAGCTGCGCCTGACTAAAGGGTCCGGCACTGATAGGAAGGGTGATGTGAGCCGGTTAGCAGGGAAAAAAAAGCCCGAGGAGGAAGGAAGTAGGCATATCCAGTTTCACAGAACGTTTGTTGTTGTCCCTCAACAGCTGTTTTGTGTGAAAACGAAAGGCTGTACTCTACAGTGACTTAGTGCAGCTCCTTCTCACCATCAGGTTACTTTTTAAGAGGCTACACATTTATGCATCCATTTCTGCACAGTAAGAGACAGAGCTCACACCACCCGTTGTATAGCAGTACTAACTAATAGGATTGCATCGATCGTAGCAAAGTCTCCTGAAAATTACCTCTTTGCCACAGAACAAGCCGCTGCTCTGTTTTTTCCCCTCAAATGTTTGTCTATTCAGAAGCTGGTGTGGGAAAGCAGGAACCAGAGAATCGAGCAAATTGCCTCAACAGACAAGTAGTACCGATACGTAAAAGGAAAACAAATCCCCTTATGAAAAGATGCAGCCTATCGATTATGCAGACACGTCTTTTTGACAATCCAGCGCTGCAGCCACGAGCCCAGCACGCTGCCTGGGCTGGCAGATGGCTCCGCTCGGATGTACGAGCCCTGAGCTCTGCGGCCGGAGCGGGGCGCGGACATTGCGGCTCTCCTCGAGATGAGCCGAGCCGAGCCGAGCCGAGTCGCCCCGCTGCCGGCAGCGCTCGCAGCGCAGGTGCTGCTCCGCCGCCGCCGCCGCCGCCCTCCCCGCACCGCGGCTCTCCTCTGCCCGCTCCGCGCGCCCACCGCAGCCCGCGCCCTCCCCTCCCCTCCCGCCCGTGGTTAACAATTAACGCGTCAGGCTCTGCGCTGCGCGGGCGCCCGTTTGTTGTTACGTTAGAAAGTCAAACGCAACTTCGGCAGATGAACTTCGGGAGCGAAGCGCGCCGCCGCCAACCCCCGCGCAGGAGCAGCGCACCGCGCCGGCCCCGACCCCGCCCGCCGCCCCCGCCGCCCGACGGGCGCTGCCGGACGGGCATCGGGGGCCGCCCGACGCGGCGCGGGTAAGCGCTGCCGGGCGGCGACTCACCGGGCGCGGAGCCTCCCGCCGCTCCCCGCCGCCAGCCGCCGTCTGCCTGCGGACGTGACCCGGATTCCCCCCCACCCGCGCCGCCTCCCGCGGGGCCGCGCACCACCGCGCTGCGCCCCCCGGCCCCACCCGCCGCCGCCGCCGCTCACCTCCGGCCGCGGCCACCGCCGCGCCTCGCCCGCCGCCGGCCCCGGCGCCGTGCGGAGCGCGTTACGCAACGCGGCCCCTCCGCGCCGCGGAGAGGGTCGCCGGGAGGCGGACGCGGGGCGGGGGGAAGCGCGGCCCGGCAGATAGCGGCCCCGGCCCCGCCGCCTCTTGCAGCGCCGGGCCGGGGCTGCCCCTGACGGGGCGGGGTCCGGGTCACCGCCCCGCCGGACGCGCTGCCGGGCTCGGCGGCTCGCGGGCTGCGGGGGTCTCGGTGCCGAAGGGGGGGAATCCCGCGCCCTGAGCTCGGCCGGGAGCCGTCCTCACGGCGCGGCACGGGGGGAGGAAGATCGCCGCGATCGGAGGCTGAAGCCGACCGCTGTCGGCGGCTTTCCCGCGGGCACCGACCCTGTGCCTCAACCGTGCCGCGGACCGGTGGACCGCAGCCGGCTCTTGCCCGCAGGCCTCGACCAGGGGAGCAGCGTGAGCAGATTGCTGCGGGATCCCCGTGTCCCCCGGCACTTGTTCTGGGGAGCCGTCCCTGGGCGAGCAGCGAGCAGCGGGCCCTGACCTGCACGGCTGGAGCTTAGAGGCGCACCGCTGAGGGCTCTCCTCGCTGGTCCTAGGGCACGTGCTGGATGGGTTTCAGTCACGCTGGGATGGATGGCAGCGCATCCCCATCGCCGCTCTAATGCTCTAACGCACAAGGCGGGAAGGGAAGAAGGATCACCTCGAGCCTCACAGACAGCTGTTGGCAAGGAAGATGGCGTCTGGAGGCAGAGGCGCGAAGGCAGTAGCTACCTGAAAGTACGATCGGATTGTTTTTCCTCCAGGAATTACAGGAACCATCCTTGCAGTTATAAGTCATTTAATGCAAATCATTTAATCCAAACAGAATTTTTACAGGCTCATGAGGCTCACTCATTTTGCCAAGAGTGAGTCATGTACAAATAAAATGAAACCAACAAAGAAAAGAACTCTCATACCATGTGTATGTGGGTGATCCTTTGAAAAACTGGTAATTATTTTTTTAACTCTGCTGCAGCCAGGAGGACAGACAGGTCTGTGAGAGAAGGGCGAGAGGATGCGGAGCTGCGGCCCCTCGGCACCTGGCTTCCCATCGCCCGGAGCGGCACATGGGGCCATGCTGGCCGGCAGCAACCATGGCCTCAGAAGCCTCCAGATGCCCCAACCTCAAACCAAACTGTGCACTGCCGTACTGCGCAATCAAAAGACTTCTAAAAAATGGAAATAATGTTAAGTGATTAATACTTAGCAGAAGAATGCAGTAGGCAGTTAATCCCTCACTTGAGGGTTAGTTAAGGACATGAGTTAAACTTCATTCTTCCCTCAGCATGTCATAAATATCTGCTGCTAAACACAGGGCACCCAACAAGCCAGCAGGGTAGTGATGCAAGGCTCTGAAATGACTAAAATGTGGGGACATGGGGTCATATGATGCTGAGAGTATCAGCTTCAAATGTGTCATCAAACCTGGCACACGGAACCACCCCCGCACCGCCGCACAGCAGAAGCGCAGGTACGTGCGGACACCTGATAGCTCAGTGCCGTAGGTCCTTGTGCCACTCCCCACCAAAGATGAGACAACATCAGGAAAGGACACATCACAGTGTCCCAAAGTGCCATCCAGCCACCAACTTCACATTCAACATGAGGAATGTGCCCACCACTGAGGCGGTGGAGTCACTGTCCCTGGAGGTGTTCAAGAAACATGTAGATATGGCACTTAGGGACATGGTTCGGTGGGCAAAGTGGTGATGGGTTGGCAGTTGAACTAGAGGATCTCAGTGGTCTTTTCCAACCATAGTGATTCTGCGAGTCTATGATACTGAACACTGCTGCTGTACCCAACCCCATTTGCTCCACTGTCCCTTCCTGATGTTCCAGCACCTGACTACAAGTACCCTTTAGGAACCTCTGCTTGCCCTCTCGCTAGCAGGGGGTCTCTTTGGATGGGCAAGCTGCACCAGCCATGCATTCATGTAGACTGAACATCCACACAGATGCTTTTCTTAGGCAGAGAACATTTGATGGGCATTTAACATAGCTGCAGCACACATCAAGGGCCTGCAGCAAGCACTACAGAGGGAGGAGGCAGAACCATGCAGCTCATGTGGCCAAGAAAGCAGTGACATTATCCTCCTCCCTTGGAACTGATTTGAGGTCATCTGCAGGCACTCCCACCGCATCAGCTGCCCATGGATCGTGGTTTGTTCACAAACACAAGAGTCATGAATTTCCTCCAATTTAAAAGTGAGCTAAAGCCAACCTTTTTACATGACCAGCAGCCAGAGAGCAAATAACATAATCCAGCTCCAAGGTGAACTAAAAGAGAATCCATAAATCTCTCAAGGCATTAGGCTCAGTATTTTTTTCATTTTAATTTTAACAAAAAGAGAGAACACGTTGGTGGATTTCAGATTTTTTTGTTGTTGTTCTCAATTTATTTTTCCTCATTAGTACTTTCTGCCTGGCTTCCAGCCAACAACATACCAACACACTGGGGTTGGTGGGCAGAGGAGAACAACAGTCCAGCTGATCTTCCCAATGGTAAGGGATGTCTTGCACCTACCATCAACTTACAGATTTCCTCCTTGCTGGTTATTTTCCTCGTTTTTCCCTATGGGTATTTGAATTCACACTGCCCGCTTAGCAAATCTGTTCATACACAAATGAATTTGTCTTTCTCAGAAATATTACAAACTTCATGTGTCTTGTTTTGATGTTTTTTGGGAGAGGAGCCACTCATTTGTTTATACACAGCAGGCAGGCAGATAGCACAGACCAATAAAGCATGAGGAAGCAGCTGAATCACATGGCTGCCTAGCACGCATCGTCTGGTGGGCAGAGGAGCCCCAGACCCATTGCTCAGGAAGGGTCTTACAAACGTGCAGTTTTTCCTACTGTTTGCAATTTCCCAAGCTCCTTATTTCCCCAAGCCTCTGAAATAGCATGTGTCACAGTGCACAAGAACATGGGGATTGAGGACAAGTAGAGTTACAGTAAAACAGCCCAAGGGTCAGTAATTTAAGATTGCTGTGGAGGCTCATGATTAAATGAGACCCACACCTTCTGGCAAAAAAAATAACAAAGTAATAATAATCCAAAATGTTTCACTTAAAAAACCTTACAGTAAATGTGGAAATCAGAGAAGAATACACATCCTTTTTCATGCTTTAGCAGCTGTGACTCAGCACAGCAGAAAGCATTCTGTGTGTGTCCCTCTTTACACCATAAATGACCAGTGTTTTTCCATACCTCAAAACTACTAGGCAGGATGCAAATAAATACAGTAACTGCAGAGTAACTTCATTTTATTATTAATGATAGCTGAGGCCAGCCTGTGCTAAACACCATGAAGGTCTCAAAGTTTTTTAGTGGCAATTGAAGGCATTTGGCCAACAATATATAGACTTTGTCTGGGGCAAATATCCGTTTACTGTAAAAATGTGATACTAAGTCACTAATACAATATATTATTTAATATTTTCCTTCTTCTCATACAATCTAATAATCTATGTCTGTTTCAAGACTTCTGGAGAACCTAAAAATACCCTAATGTAATACCCTTTTTTTTTTTTTTTTGCACAGACATCTAATTCCATTCTATTATCAGAATTGAGGGGGAATCACAGTGGATGTGTGAGAACAGAAGAGGCATGTATGAAAATCCAGGCAAACAGGAAAGAAAAATAAATAATGAAGAGGAAAGCAAGAGAGAGAAACAAACCTAGAGGCACAATCTAACCTCCAACGCACAGTTCATATCACCGCATATTTCAACAAATATCCATTTTTGATCTCGCATGAAAAATACAGCTCGGAATTTTTTCCAAGTTACGCAGGGATGCACATGGCACCACAGGACATTAATGCTTGGTCCACAAAACCCAATGAACGAGGGCCAAAAAGAAAAAAAAGGGAACGGAAAGAAAAACAGCAAGATTAAGTTATCAAAAAGAAAAAAAAAAAGAAGATCTGCATTTCTGAACTGCAATAACAAAGTCTTTGAGAAGACAGTCTGAGCCCTCCTACACTGAAGCAGGCTTCCAGACTAAATAGGGATTTGTGGATATTCTCCTTTTTATTGCAAAAGCAGTTTTAGTATAAAAGACTGTCTGGACTGTCATCAAAGGATGATGTGGAGGTTCAAGAAAGTTCAGAACGGATCAGACAATTTATGGTCGATAAGTCTATCAATGGCGAGTAAACATGATGATGCAATCCTGTGAAATCTCTGGCTCAGGAAATTCCCATAACCTCTGACTGCCAGAAGTTAGGAAATTCTACACTTATCCTATTGCTTCCAGTCTTTTGGTAAGCATCCTCTATTTGTCACCATCAGTCCAAGGCATCTGGGCTAGATGGGCTGCTGGAATAAATAAAAATGGTGATTCATACTTCTTATCTCCTGAAGAGATAATCAAGGTCATTCTTGTCATTTTCTGCTGCCGCCTGTGATGAAAATTTTTATGATCAGTGGCTCCAAATCTCATGAAAATGGCAGTGGGCCTAGTTTGGACTTCAAAAAATACACAACAGAGGCTGTAATGACATTAATGGAAAAAATAGATGATGAGTGACAGGTTCAGTTAGTTCAGATGTGTAGCTTTCCTTTCATACTGAAGAGAACAGAGAATGAGACTGAGACAGTAGTGAGGACATCCTGTCAGGCAAAAGAAAGCTCCATTTAGGAGACCTGCAGAAATGTCTCCAGTTTGGAACAGATGTGACACCACCACAGCTTTCCACGCAGCTCTGTTTTGCTGATGGATAAGAGACATCTCTTTCAGGAAGAATCAGAGTGAGCGTGAATGCAGCTCTGTAGGAGGCAGAGTGGGAAGACAGCCTGTAGTCCTACTGAGACCAGATCCTGTGTCCCAAACCACTGTGATTCCAGCTAAAAGATTAGGGCTTGGAAAGGCTCTGGCAGTTTTAATGATAGCTGGGTTACTCTGAAGGAACGCTAAAACCCACTGGGTAGAGATTTGATTTTGGAGGCCTGACAGAAGCAAGAGCTTAGCAATTCTTTTGCTCCTAATGGAGGGCTATACAGACCTCAAGTAGCAGGTGGATGGTAGGAGAATTAACTGAGGGAATGTGCAGCTCATTGTATTCTAGAACAACTTGTTAGTAATTAAGAACTACAATGGAAAACATACAGATGCCACAGATGCCATATAGTGTAAAAGTGATAGCAACTAGGAATATAGATTCTGTCCTACTAAACTCAGAACAAAACTTAGAAACCTCTTCCTTGAAGAAAATCATGACATCTGCTCATTTCAGTAACTGAAAACATGAAGTATCACACTATCACCTTTCTGTTTTGCTGTCTTTTGCTTCAGCCATATTTTATTAAGCTTTATCTTAGCAGGCCTGAACATGGAATGAATGAGCTCACTTTGTGTTTTTCATCCTGAATCCACTCTTCATTGGATATTTGGAATAACTTAGACATGTATAGTTTTCATCAAAGCATTTTCATTCCCAAGTTCTCTTCAAAGGTATGGAAGATAAATATTACCATGGCGCTAGCAGAAATGCTACAGTGGTGTAGTACTGTAATTCTATTACTGTAGAGTACATGTTGCCATTTTTTACTGCAGGCGTAGCACATAGCATAGCATGAGTATATATATACCTGATCATTGTGGTATGCAACATTTGTACAGTTCCAGCAGCCTTATTTCAGTAAAAAACAACTGAAGCAAGATTTGCCTCCTGATTTACAAAAGGAAAGTGTCTTCTGAGTGTGATTATGGACTTAATGTAGTGCTAATAGTCTTGAAAAAAGCAGCAGTTCCTTCCCCTAGAGTACCTGATCTGTTCAGAAATCCCCAGGAGGTGCTTTGGAGGCCAGTTTGAAAACTCTTGCTATAGAACCTGCCAAGGAGGAGTCCCATTTCAGTTAGACCTCTTGTTTTTTGTAGTGACCTTAAGCAATACAAGCTTGCTTACAGCATTTGCAACGTTATCAGGAGTGCATCAGTCTTTGAAGAGGGAAGTACTTCAGTAAAAGCACTTGTTTTACTTCTACAGAATAAGTACAGCAAGTCATCACACAGCAGTTTGTTTACTTGTCTATTGGTAGAAAGCACTGCCAGAACAGTGGCATTAAGGAGGCATGAGAAAATGACAGATGTAATCATTTGCACTCTGAATTCACTATGCAGAAAAGAGCATAAATGCAATTTGAGGACATACTTTTTATAGTTCCCTGGTTAGCCAAAGCACAAAATCATGAACATTAAAAAGCTACGTATGACCCAAATGCAAAGAGTGGTAGTGTATAACCACCTACAGACCCTACCTGGTGCGCTCAGACTCACGGCTACAGACTCCTGGAACAAATTAGAAACTGGAGCAACCGTAACAGCTGGAAATCTCATTTCTCTGGGATACACTGGAATGAGCAGAACATGAACAAACAAGCAGTGGATAATTCCAACATGTAGGAACCTCCTGCTTGTTAATGTATCCAGTAGAAAATCCAACCCTATTTCTTCAGAAGAAATTTTCTGTCAAATCTATACTTGTGTACCAAGGCTACAAACAAATTAGAAATGCACCTAAACAGGCTGAACAACTTGCACTTGGTTTTTTAATTATCTTTATGAAAGTGAGAACTCAGGGAGGAGTTGAGGATGATTAGAAACTGATGATGGCATGCGCTGCCTGCTTTTCCTCCCTCCCAACACATCACTTCATTTCTTCCCATTCACAAGTCTTTCAGACTACACAGCAGTGGTTACTTGTTCTTTCTGAAGACTTTAGAAAGCTGGTGCTTACACTTTTAGCACCAAGAACAGCAAACAAACTTCTTTGAAGTAATCTTACCTGCTAAAACCACTTCTCAATGGTCTAACAATCTTTTAAAAACAACATCTTGAATTTTGCCAACAATGTCATTGCAAAGCAAAACAGAGAAAGTGTTTCTCAATCCTGGCTATAGAATTCCCAGTACAATGTAAGAAGGGAGGAGATTCTCTAAAAATAAATATACATTTATTGTTCATTGCAGTGCCACATTTCATCACTCAATGCTGGAAATGCCCATTAATAAAATAGCACTCATTATAACAATTCCAGTTCAAAAATTTCTTTTTGGAACTCTAATTGATCCTCCAAATGAGCTTTATTAATCATTGATGGAAAACTGGCAAAATCCTGGTCTGTATTTTGGCAAACTTTCAAAATGTCCAATTAAGTCAAATCAGGAAGGCTCTAGAAACCAATTACAGAAGCACTTCAAAGCCAAAAAACAAAACAAAACAAAACAAAAAAAAACCAAAAACAAAAAAAAACCAACCAACAAACCACCAACAAAAAACACCTTATTGTATTCTGATACAACTGCAGCATTACAGGAATGAAAAAACAGCAACCCACCACCTCACTCATAAACTGTGTATGCACCTGAGGTACCACCTCCATAGAAATGTAAGAAACAGCCACTCCTTGAACCACATCAGTCAATCACATTTGCTCTCATTTTCTTTATTAGTGTCATAGATGCCACCGAGCAGTTCACCGTAAAGAACGGTGCCAGCCAGGGCCTCACAAGTCAAGCGAACACTGGTTCACCTTCAACATTTTTCTACACATCTCCTCTTCAGTGCTGCAATACCACAGGTATATGAAGTCTTCACCTTTTCATGAGTTTCATGAGTTGTGCATACTCCACCAACACGTTTGTACATTAACACGTATGTTGACGACATGATAAAAATAATCCTGGCACGAACAACAAAAGCCGCCTTTATCTAACTTCGCAAGAATTTGATCTTTGCTTCTGCAGGATTACTGCAGGTACAGCCATAGGTTCTGGTGGGCTGCGTGAGGTGAGTGTTGCTGCCAGCCCTAATCCCACCACCCACAGTTGTGAATTAATTAGGACTTGAAGATGCCAGAGGGAAGCAAACAAAACAAAAATAGCGTTGTAATTGACTGTAAACAATAATTAAAATTCTGCATTATGTTTAGCATCTGCACATTTCCAGACTTACTGCAGTGAGCGACTCCACATCTAACGAAAACATACAGCTCAATCCCAGAAGACTGGGCAGACCTCAGATCCTAAGTACATCTCCTACGATAACTCAGAATGGAAAGTAAGTCACGCATCCTTACTGCAAAAACTAATAATTAAAAATTCAAAAACTGACATGGTAAAGGAACCAAAGTCCTTCTACCCTGGCCGACCAAAGGAGAACAAAACATGCACCCACACAGTAAAAACTTCTGAATTTTCCATTCCAGATGTGGACCGTTCTGCAGTTTCACACCACAATGGCCCCACTTTAATATTATTTATTGTTTATTGCTTATCATTTAATGAGTTAGAAAGTTTATTATTCATTTATTTATGTGCAGTTCCTTTTCATTTTTTTACTAATCTTTTTAAATTAACTTACCATTATATTAACAAAATTAAGGTTAGTTCTCACATTACTTCTGACTCCAAACTCCATTAAATTACGACTCTGAACTTCTTATCAATTTCACTTTTCTCTGCCATCCAGTCTTCAGCTGGCTAGGTTACAGACTGGACCTCATCAGTCTGTCTCCACATCAAGTACTGCATTCCATGCATTCATGTTGGAAGCAGTCATTTGTCATTCAGAAGTCAAACTTCTTAACAAAAATCTCCTTACCTTTGTCAGGAGGACAGGTAAACTTCCTGAAGTTTTACTATGAGCTTGACCAAAGGTAATCAGAGGACCTCCAGTAACCTAAAGAAAAACATCTCTGAAATAACCACACGGCTTTGTATTCTGTCATTTCCCAGGAATGGTGAGACCAAACCTCTTAACATTTATTCAGCACAGCCAACATGTTAATTCACAAAAGAAAGATAATCACTTTCATAATTCCATTTACATAAGGCATTCAATTTTACAGCCCCCAATATCTCTTTAAAATTATAGCCAACGCATGGCAGACAATTTTGCAGTGTGCTAGCTAATATGCTGAAAGCTTTGTGTGGATCCTTTTTCTCCCTCCTGTTATTTGTTTACTAATCCGTTAATATAAAAATCACAGCGTGTTTGGAAGATATGATGTATTTCTAGCCCTCTTCCAGCTCAGGTTTCATAGGTTCCTCAGGTTTCATAGGTTTTTCCCTGACATGCTAACTGCTAGGTACAGAAGATTAACTGATTAGAAATTATGTAGTTAATGTTTTCAGTTGTAATGCATTTTTTTTTGAAATTCAAGTTGAAGAATTGTAATGGAAGTATCAGAAAAGCTGACTGCTATGTATTCAGGGAGCCAAGACTAAATGTAAGGCCACCGTAGGATGCACCCCGATGGAAGAACACCTTTTATTATCTAATGGCTGTTATTTTCTAGACTGATTGCCAGCACAGCTAAATTGCTTTGTCGACCTGGAAAGTAT